TTTGGCGTAGACTGATTGTTAAAGGCATTTCAGCTATTTTTGGGATCCGTAATCACCGTCATCAAAGTCGTTTTTAGATACTGCTTTCAAAGTTTCATAATTGTTAGAATTGGCTGGCTGCATAGCTGTGCACCTACACACACAGCCAAGGCAGGAGAGTGTGTTTTAAAATGATCCAAAGAGAACAGACATTGTGTTCAGGTTTAGAAAGTTTAATCGTCTTTCCTGAAGATCTCAGTCAATAGGCTGAGACGTACGGTATGTGCTTCAAGGCATAACCGCAGTCAAAACATTATTACGTAAGTGTGAAACTCAGAGAACTGTCTATAAGTAGAACTCTTAGCTGGTAGATTTGGCTATTTATAATGCTATCCTCTCACTGCACCACCTATGAGTTGTAGAAAAGATATTTCTTGGGAGTGGGTTATCGTCGTGGCAGCAGGATGACTTTTTTTGCCTTTCACAGGCATCTTGTGTGACCACCCCCCCCCCCCCCCCCCACCCCACTCTTTCTTGATCATTAATTTATCCAGGCATTTCTCACAACAGCCTATTTATAGAAGCCTTCACCAAACATCCCTGTGCGCTGTGCTCATTTTCAAACGGCCGCAGAACAAGGCGGAGACGTCTGCTCTGTCTCCACTGTACCATTTGTCTGTCAGTGGGGTGAGAGAGAAAGACCCTGGTGCATTGGTGGAGTATTTTCACTCTATATCCTCTCTCACTAAGCTCCTTTTTTCTTCCTTATGTTCTTCCTATTTTTTCCTTACTTTCTGTCCTCATGCCTTTTTCTTTTATTCTTCGCTTCATCATCATCCTCACACCCCAGTCTGCTGTAGTACACCGCACTGCTTGCACTGTGATGAGCTAATTACCGTCAGTCGTCGAGTGTGATGGCTCTCTCGCTCTGTAATCCATAAATAAACCTTTACAGAGAGACATGCAGGAATATAGATATGTGCATTCATTAGAGCCTGGCTTTTGAGTTCTGTTCTGGGGATGTTATGGGATATACTGAAGCACAGCAAACATGGTTTTGCTCTACATTACAAACACACATACTTGCTATAGACTGAATATATTAAGATAATTACTGTTAAGGAATAATTCTTCTAGATATCTAACTAGAGATGTCCCGATCCGATCACGTGATCGGGGATCGGAGCCGATCACGTGATTTTCAAAAGATCGGAATCGGGAGAAAAAAATCGGGGATCGGGATTTTTTTTTTTTTTTTTTTTTTTTTATTTAATGTTACAAAACAAAAATGACCATGTTCACGTCTTAAAGTCATCCTGAGGCCTTAGTTTTGGGTTAAAATTACACAACATCATGTATGTGTTGCTTCTTTTGGGCTTGTTTTCATAGACATGGTTGCTTATTTCTCTCAAATCTGGCAACAGAGTGGGCGCAGTGTCTAATAGTAGCAGTAAGCTAACGAGAGGCTACGTTCAGCTGGTGACTCGGGAGTCGGGACAGAGAAAATGTCAGGAGTTTGGAAGTATTATAAAATTGAAAGCGAAGGCAGTGTAACAGCCAGATGCAATGTTTGCAAGGCGGAGGTTCCGCGTGGTGGAAAGAACAGAGCTACGTTCAACATGACCAATCTAATACGCCACCTGAGAAACAAACACCAACAACAACACGACGAGTACACAGCGGCCACTCAGGTAACGGCACTGAAACAACAAACACTTTCAGAGACTTTTAAAAGGAAAGAGAAACTGCCCCAGAACAGTGAAAAGGCCAAAAGAATAACAGCCAAGATAGCTGAATTCATCGCGTTGGATGACCAGCCGTTATCTGTGGTGGAGAACGTGGGGTTTAAGGGACGACTTGAATGCTTTTCTCCTTTTTTTTCTCTTAATGCATTGCATAAAGATCGGATCGAGAAAAATCGGTATCGGCAGATTGTCAAAATCAAATGATCGGAATCGGATCGGGAGCAAAAAAAGGTGATCGGGACATCCCTATATCTAACCTTTTGCTCTGTGACGTTTTATGATCTACTCTGACGTCTGTTATCTCCTTTAAGGAAAGGCATTGGTGCCATATGTGTTGTTGTCACCAGTTTGTGACCGGTCAACTTGTCTGGCACGAATGGTAATTGTTGTGAGAACGCTGAGGCACTTCTTTATCGGTGTTTGTGAACTCTAAGATGTGAAATCTTTGAGGCCATGAGTGTCGGACGCGGGTGGTTCAGTGTTCCCAGCTGTTTAGTCTACTCCTCCAGAGATGTTGATTACTCTCTGTGAACCAGTTAAAAGGTCTAGCATAGAGAGAGGCTCTTCAGAATTGACGTGGCAACTCTCCCGTGAAGTCAGACCCTCTGGCTCGTGACTTGTGATGTGAATCCTCCGGCCGAATACTCTGAATAAACCCATCAGTGTTTGACATCAAAGCTCCAGCTCTCCTCGTGTCTCCTTCCTGAGTCGGTGACTCCCACTGCATTGCTACACAGAAGTTTCCCCCACAATTACAAATAGCCACACATAAGTAATGTTGATGACGGATAGATGCGATGTGATGCTCTGGAGCTACAACATTTGAGAAGCTTGGCTATAAGATAATGATTTGATGTATAAGGACTGGACCTGTGCTGTGGATTTGTTTAGTGCCTTCTCTCAATGGACCTGCCTCAAATCCTCAAGTTACACTCTGGTGTAACGGATCAATTAATCAAATCCCTTTTAACAGGCATCATAGGCTCTTGTCTTTATTGAAAATTGCAAATACTGTCTTTATTGAAAATTGCAAATACTGCCTTACAATGAGCCCGACTTATTATGTAGTGATTGTATTTACTCTGGTTTTCATGCAAACTATACGGTCCACAGTCATTGAGCTTTTAAACTTTACTTCACATACATCTTTCATTCAACTGCTTTGCCAAAAACTGCATTTTACAAGATGACCTTTGAACACATAACTTTATCTTTGCCCATCACTCATTTGTACTGAATATATCCCAATGTAACTTTTGCTCTGTTGGCTGTTAGCTCAGTTTTTCACCTCAGCAGGACTGTGTTGCCCGCAGGCTGCTAACAGCTATATTAACCAGCCCACCTCCTGACACTTTAAACATGGAAAGTATTGATACAATGAATCAATAGTCACAGAGGCATGCAATTACAAGGAATCGGACAACTAGGAACCATTTCTTATCGGAAATCCCTTTCACTAGCATAACAATTAACTGTGCAGAAATACTATATTTGAATGCAAGTTAAACTGAGTAAATACTAAAGCATCTCATGATAATTCAAACCCTCTTAAAAACCTAGTTGGCATTAATTAAGTTTGTATTCTTCATCTTAAAATAAGTTCTAGTTTCTCTAATCTGTGTGAAAGCTATGCGAGGTTTGTTAAGCTTTGATTATCAGTGGTGCACTACCTTGTTTGTGCCTAAATAAATTGGTTTTCTTTCCCCCTGGAAATGAAGCAAAGGCAGGCCTTCAACGCAGAGGAGGTTAACAAAGTCAGACAAGTTAAAAAATCTAATCGAGGCGAACATCCATTACTGAATGGGCCACCGGTCGAGCCAAGAAAAGGCCATTAAGGAAAGCATGGACTCAGCTCCCTGCAGAAAACATTTACGAGAGGCACTCGCTAATGGGTCAACAGGGAGACTCTTTCATCCCTCAAACTAAATTGGCATCTGTGAATCTGAAGCTTAAGGGAGAAAAAGAGGAACCTGCTCGATTCTATCGATCAGGTGGATCGGTGCCTTTTAAAGGTACAACAGGCATGATGAGGATGCTACCTTTTCACATTTCTCTCCTCTTTTGCAGAGGAAAAATGTCAGACTTTTTGCTTGACCACAACAAGCAAAAAAACATGTAAATGCCACAAAATAAACCAATCTATGATTTAATATAAGTTTGAATCATTAGTCTGCATATCACCCCTGTGGCTAACACAGTAATCTAATGAGCTTGGTGTAAACTGAAGAGATGCTTTTCTTAGAACTATTACATCCTTGCGATTATCCCCGGGCAATTTTCTTGATGTACGAGTCCACAGAGGTTACTATTTCAATATATTGGATCCAATCGCTAATAAATCCCCATAATTGTTTGTCATTATCCCTTCCTCGTTATTGTAGCCAAGAGCACTGGATGCTGGAATGGAGGCCGACAGTCAAAGATAAACACTGTGTTCGCCGCGCATTACTGACTGCACTAAATGCGAAGGTGCAGGCCGCTCAATAAAACTAATCAAACGTGAATTTGAAGGTGTATTGACTCGCCTGGATTCGCATGGGATGGCAAATTTGTGATCCAAGGAAAGAAGGGGAAAAAGGCTTAAGCTGGAAGATCAGAAGCCAGCGTGGCAGGGCAAGGACAGTCAGAGGGTAGAGCTAAGAGACTGTTAACAGACTGATTTCTCAAACACTGCACATCCCCTCGAGCCAGACAATTTCCCCCTTGCCTTTGCCACTTTTATTGTTTCAGCTTTAAACTTCCCCTTATTGCTGTATATACTGTCACGGTAAAAAGAAAGGATGGTATCCAAGTGGTTATCAATCATCACTTTAGGACTTAAAGCCCCTGGCCAAGTTATTTTCTGTAACATTAAACCGTCATAACTAGACAATCAAATTAAGAAGACTGTGTGTGTGTGTGGTTTAATCATATTAACTGACAGAGGCCTTGAAACATAAATAACACATTTTGATTCAAGCGTTGCCAATTTCTGATTAATGCATCAAAGCTTTTATTGATCTGAGCCGAGCCCAATTCTGAGTAGAGAAACAATAAACAAAAACATATTCATAATACGTATGTTGCATGAGGAATAAACAAAACTGACCTAACTGTGGTAGAACATGTTTTAGGCCTTAGGACAAGTTTTAGGCTCTTTGGACAAATGAGGTTCAGTGGGTGTGTTTTCTTCAGTTAATATATCCTTATTCCTCTGAAACAAAAACACATATATCTTGTAACTGGTTGTAATTTGACTTCTTATTTACCTTTCTTGTTTTCTTGTTTGTCTTTCAGTTGCAACGATTGAAGCGCTCCCTGTCCTTCAAATCTGTCATGCGTAGCAAGAGTATGGACAACTTTTTCCAGCGCAATAACGGCGAATCCCGCCCTCCTTCCGCCCTCATCACTTCCCCTACAGCCCTGACATGTCCTCCTCCCCCCATCTCCTCGTCCCCTCTGGCCTATGAGCGCTCTCCGTCCCATTCCCCGTCCACCAGTCCCAACCTCTCACTGTCATCCCGCTCACCTTCCATCAGCCCCTCGCTGTCTATGCCCTCCAAAAACCAGCTAAAGTCTCCGGTGCAGCCGCTCAAAACCCACTGTTTCCAGGAGCACGTCTTCCGCCGGCCCACCAGCTGCCAGGGGTGCAAACATTTGATCCAAGGTAGGTCAGGGGTACTGGATACTTTCAGAAAAATGGTCTTACTTTTGTCGTTTCATAAAGGAAATAAATGTGTTGCACAAGGTCTCCCAAAACGCAGAGATAAGCTGATTCTGTGTACTTCTGAAAGCTAAGATAAAAGTTGTTTTATCTTGAGTTAATCTACTGAGATTCATGATGCAAGGCTTTATTGTCATGTGCACATTAGCTATAGCAGTGTAGATATGGCAATGGAACAACTTAAGTCACAGGCTCCTCCAACAGTGCAACATGAATAGCTGTACAATAGCTGCCCACTGCTCCTAGTACTAGACTCCTGGTACTAGGATGGGTTAAATGCAGAGGCCACATTTCACTGTGTGTGCTGTGTGCTCTGCATGTGTGACCATTAAAGAGGGGTTTCATCCCTCCCAATTCTATCTATCTATCTATCTATATATAGGACATAAAATAGTGCAAGAGAATGTTTTGACATGTGCAAGTAAATACAAATAAAATAGAAATTGCAAGAAGAGTCCATATACAAGTAAATGGAAATATGATATATTGGATAAATAATTAGCAAGATGCAAACGGATGAATGTTTATGGATGTGTTTTAATAGTCTTATGGCCTGTGGAATGAAACTGTCCCCGAGTCTGGTGGTTTTAGACCTGATGAGCTTCAGATTCAAGGCATTTCTTACAAATGTGCAAAGATATCAGTTAAAAATAGGCTGAGTGTAGCATCAGATTTGAAGGGTGTTGCAGATATTTTGAGTTTATTTGCTGAGGTTTCAACACTGGGAATTCTGCCACTTCATCCAAAGATAATCAAACGCGTTCTGTATGTGGTTCTCAAATGATGAAAGATTGTAACTCAGGTATCCACAAATCTTACTGTGGATCGTTCGCAAGGGGTCTAATTCTTCAGCAAAAAATGTTCCCAATAAAAAAGATTGACTGCAAGTGCAGAAGTCCAATCCTGTTTATGTGTCTCCCCTGGGAGTTGTATCTTCTTTTTTTTTACAATTGGTGTGCTGACGTTTCTCAGCAGTCTTCTTCTTTTTACTTTTATTATGTACTGCAACTGCTCTTACAATTTGCATACTCTGAATGCTTGACAACACTGTTAGGCTTTTTGAACGTACTTGAAAGCACATTGATCAATTTGAGATCATTACATGTTCTTAATCTTTAGCTAGAGCTTAGAGACTATGTAATAAAATCAGTAAATTATTCAATAATATATATTTAACATTCCTTACCTGGTCCAATACAGGCCAGTGAACTGGTAAAAGAAAATGTGCATATAGAACATGTGGCGTACAATTGTCAATACTGATGTTTGTATGGCAGTTTATATAATACTCTCAGTGTGGGTTTCACATGTGAAGAAAGAATCGGACACTTTTTTGCTAAAATAAACTGGTTACCAAGCTTCTCGGAAAGAAAAGTATTTTTAAATCACTCACCTAAAAGAATAAAAGACCTTCACAAACCACAGAATGCCCACCTTCCCTCCATTTCCATCACACTCTCTGCACCTGCTATTGCCGTTCGCTTTGTCCTTAATGTGTTGCTGATAATAGAAATATAGACCGCGGTGTTCAGTCCACTAAGAGGTGTTATTTTTCTGATGTCCATGCAGGTAACTCCAAGCAGGGGCTGCGCTGTCGAGCCTGCAAGCTGGCGACCCACCTCTGGTGCTCCTCGGAGCTCTCCCAGCAGCCCTGCAATGGAAAGGTAAGAACACCTCGACTTATTTGAACCTCACTACCATAATCTATTCACCTTTTTATGAAGCTATTGTAACACTTTACTGCCCACATACAATATATATATTATAAAAATCTAAGTTTCTAGCACTTGTCTGGCAGCGATATGACACTCAGATATGTGGTCATCGAGTGTGAACAGGGGTGTGAAACTCTGAGAGGCGAAATATCCACAAAGTACTTGGATATTCTACCTGGTTATTGAGACAGCAGGGACATATGTGTGATCAAAAATATATTATATTAAAGAGTTCATAATGATTTGCCTCAAATGCATCACACTTACTTAATGCAGACCTCCGCCAAATTTTTCCGTAAGTGAAAAATGATTTTAATATCTGCACTATGATTCGGATGTGCTCCAAAATTAAATGGGTACTCTCTTTTTTTGTTGGCACTTGGTATCACCTTTCACCATGTTTAAATTGGGTAGTTTGTAAGAATAATCCAATATCCATGCGTCCTTTTTGCTTTGCACATTTGCTTGTTTCGGTTCTCTTCCCGAACCCGACTGACCCATGGTCAAACATTTTATTTACAAAGACATTTTAATATTTTGTGTATTTGTTTCTCAAATGTACTGGATACGAATGTGCTCTCTGTAGGCTGGTGCCATATCCAGAATGCATTGTGTCAGCAGAAATAAAGAGCATCTGGATGCTGTAATTGTCTCTGCCAGTCAGTTGGCATAGCCTTTGGTCCTGGAAATATGCTTAGCCCCAAATCCCTGGTCCTGTTAAAAGAGGACAAAGCCATTTTCAAAGCAGGAGGGACAAAAAGCTAGAGGTTATAAATGGAAAGTGGGTTGACCACAGCTTTGCCAGGTAGACTAACTTACGGGGAAATGTTTGTACAGGTAACGCTCATATCACTTATATCCTATCTAAGAAAAACTCAAGCGGAGCAGGATGACACTGATGACGTTTCGGTGGCCAGGTCCCAACAGTTTGTCACTCAGCCTTTTTGTCCGTCCTCCTGCATGTGCTGCTTTTCTCACACAACGCTCTCTTTCCGCTCTCCTCTCTTGTCTGCGTGCAACATTTCCTTCCTCCCCTCACAACTCTGTTGGAAAATCAATATCTCTCTGTACCAGCTGGTCTGGCTAATTCAGTGTGAAATTCAGTGTGTTTGAGGCGCACACAATCCCTGGAGGATACGACACGGAAGGCTCTCGCCAAGCCTTCGGTGGTGTCCTTTTCCATCACTGCACACTCATCAAAGCAAGGATTAGGCCTTTCACTGAAACTGCATGGAGGTCGAGGCTCCTTCTTATACATCCACATACCTCTAGGTCCAGGGGCCACTGACTCTCAACCAAAGTGCGTCATCCAAAGCTTTTGTGCGCAAAAAGATTGCTTCTGAAATTTCACCTACTGTATCTTAAGTGCATGAATTGCTCAGGTGATCTTTTTTAATTTATGAGCTTCATCATACATATTTTAATGAAACTGAAATGTAGGAAAGGCTGGAATGTTCTTGGCAATTAGTTTGACAATACATCTAATTCCTGTGTTTGGTGCAGTCAGACTCTTGGGATGACTTGAGGCCAGAGCCTGCGTATTCGCTGCAGGCAGAAGAGAGAGCATTAGACGTAGTAAACACTGTATCGGTGCTGCTGTGTGGATTAACTAGCAGTTGTGGAAAGTTACGAAGTACACTCATTTAAGGACTGCACTAAGGTACAATGTTCAGGTATTGTAGCATTTCTATTTCAACTTACTCTAGTTTGCACAGCCTTTCTTTCTCTTTTATCAGTGACATATGGCTCACACTGCAAACCTCTCCATCTCACCTCCTAATTGTTTTCTTCAACGGTCCTTAAAGTATTATTTTCCTATAATTAACTAATTAATGAATGAATCTTGCAGAACAATGTTTTTTTTTTCAAGACCCACACTCAATTCTCGATAAGAAGTTGATTTTTTTAGATTACAGGTTAAGACAATCCTAGTGGACTGAGAGATCTACATATACAATTGTTAAAATTAGCTTATCATTAAAATACTGCAAGTGAATGAATACACAAATAATAATATCCATTGTTTTGCTTTGCCTTAGGCTTGCCCTACCAGCTGAGCTACTGGAGCGCTCAATATCTTATCATATCAATGGGCAACAAAATGGACCATGTTTCCACATATGGGTACAGTTTAAATGCAGGACTTTTACCTAAATCAAGTTTTTGTGGATGTGGTGTTGTTACATTTACTTCAACAAAGAATCTGAGTAGTCCTTCTACCTCTAGTAATTCACAGCAAAAAAAAAAAAACTAAAGCGGGCACAACTGGCAAATGATAGGTATGTAAAGTAGTGAAGTTGTCCCTCTGACTCACTCCTAACCCATTTGCTGAGTGCACCCATATATGACTGATTGCCTTAAAATATCTCCAGATCCAAGCTGCTGAAAATGACTTTGGATTCCCGACAACATTTTGCTAATCAATGTTAATTAGACTTAAGTATGTATTACCCTTTGATTAAGGAAATAGGCCTGCTGAGCGCTGCACAAAATAATTGCTTCTGCAGGAAAGATTTACACTCAAACCCATTTTACCCGAAATTGTGAGAAACTACTCCACAGTCCCATCTTTCTTTGTCTGACCAAAGAGGGGCATTTTAGCTTCTCTTCTCTCTAAACCTGTCCAGTCATGCTACCCAGTCATCATTTCTGATATGTTGATCTGTAGCTGAATGGTAGTAGTACTATAAGATGTGGAACAGTTTATTTTGCTCAGGAAAGAATGAGTCTACTCCACATCAGTATGTTTAAAATGGGAGCAATGGCAGATCAGAGTGTGACTTGTTATGAATTGACTTTAAACAGAAAGTGAAGCATTTGCCAGATGTATTGTCCATTCACAGACCGTGTTTACATTTTATTTGTATCTTGTGTTTCCTGGAAAGACTTCTTGACTTCTTCTTGAGTTGCAACTGTTGGTCAAATGACAGGAAAGTTGGCGATTATTTGAAATGAACTGAAACCGACCGCTGCCTTTTTCTAATTCTTATCATCGTCAATTGAATATTTAGAAAGAACAAACGTTAAGCGATGAATTGAGAAAATAATAAGCAGATTCATTAATGATGAAAACATTATTGTGTGAAATCATTCTTTAACGATCCCCTATCAACAATATATTATAGGTCTCAGATGTATACAAAACCACCTCCAAACAGATCATGCATTATCGCGTGCCATAAACCCCTCTGTTTCAGCACTGTTCCAAAAGGGCTGATTCTGTGTCTGTCGCTTTAAATGCTAATGAACTGCTTCTGGCCGCGCCTCCTCTGTGAAGTGTCTGGTTTAAAAAGGAGCGGATTCAGGTGATAAGGTGCACGGGTGTTACCTTGGTTGGTTATTAGCTAATGGTTGCAGAACCCAAAACAATATCACAAAGTGGCCAAAATCTGATCAGCTCATTTTCAGACAGGTTTTTATATAGAGGGATCAGGACAAAAAGAGAGAGAATCTTTTTTCCAGAAACTTTCAGAGAGGACACATTTTGCATAATAGGTGACTTTTAAATGTGAGCATTTTTTTGCATATGTGAAGCCATCCAAAATATCAATCAATTAGAATTGCTGCATAAACGGATACAATCACACTGTTCAGTCATGTTTTATACAATCACACTGTTCAGTCATGTTTTATACAATCATACTGTTCAGTCATGTTTTAGCAGTGAGATTTGTGCAGTCTTTTCAGAGTAGAGGTGAAGTTTGTGTTGTGTGTGAGAAGGGAGATAAAGAAGAGATTCTGGGCAAATTGTTGTCTGTCAGTCCTGAACAGCCATCACACCCCCTCCGAACCTCAGAGCTATGTTTCACTTCTGGATGACTTCTGTGCTCTTCAGAAGCTCTACTCACAACAGCTGTCAGATCGTCATGGCAGTTATTTTGATTGCTTTCTTTTCTTCTATAAATATATTCACTTTGGTTTTTCAGAAACTTTCAGACACCCAATGAGTATACAACAATATTTCTACATCATGACGCAGTTTTTGATTTATAGATGTTTTTGTTGACATGTTGAGCATCGAGCAGTATGACCTGATAAAGGTTTTTTTGTTATACAATGAAGGTTTGTACCACAGGCCAGAAGAAATCAACCCTAAACAGATAACGCATTTTTCTGATGACATGTTATATTCTTAGCATGTACCGCATTCTATAAAACGGATGATAAAAGATGCAGAGATTAAAAGCAGAAATACTTTTTTCTTTTAAATACGCTTCTATTTGGGGAACACAGGACATATTCATCACAGCCTCTGTCCAAAACAGGACTTTTATCTTTCAGACTGATGAGTCATGTTCTGCAGCTAAACATATTTTTCTTGCTAAATAAAGAAACAATCGCATATCAAAGGTGTTCGGCTTCAGATCTACAATTTGACAGAGACGGATCTTTCTGGTGCCCCAATACGCAGACAACATGGATGAATAGCTTGAAGGCAGGAAGAAAAAAAAAGTTGAGTCATACTCCATTAGGCGCACAGGCGTGTTCGGGGATATATCTTCAGAAGCACCGTGTTAAAACTAATGGTGAGTGTATTATTGCCACCATTAGTCGGCAATAAAACGCTCATAGATCATATTCGCAGATCCAACATACAAGTGTCGAGATAAAAACGTTTTTTATATTGCAGTTTGTTTGCATTATAAATCATCCTCTTCCTCCTACAGTCCATAAAGTGGAGAAATAACATCAATTTAGACATCAAACTAAAAAAAAATGTTGTTTGCAACGTTTCTGAATTCACTGTCAATAGCGGGCTGGGTATTCGGAGTAACAATGAGGGACATTGCGGTTAAGATGGAGAATTGGCATTAGTTTTCAGCAGATGTATTGGTTTCAAAAGCTTGAAAAGCAGATTTATATTCCTAACCTTCCCTGCACTTAAATCATATGTTAGCATATATATATTGTAGCTGAATTATCTTGAAAACGTTGTGTGGCTGTCCGTTGAACATTTACAAAGAGATGTTTTGTTCTAGCTCCTAACTCTGTGAGTTAGTGTATACATGTTTTTTAGCATTTGGATTAATTTAATGCTTTAATGTTTGTGCTGGGTTATAGATACGACTGTTACAGTAATAGTTATAATTTACTGTCAAATGGCAGAGGAACTTGAAGCATCCAGTTCACTTGGAGGAAAATGTAAAATTAAGAGAATACAATTTAAAATAGTCAAGTAAATACAATTACTCTGGATTAGTCCTCATGGATAGTACATAAGTAACATAAGCCAAGTACCTCCACATTTTCCTCAAAGTATCTTTGTCAAAGTTATTTGTAGGGGATTTCAGAGGAGCTGAAATACCGCAACACAAAGAGCTTTTATCTCACTGTAGGCCCACGTCTTCCAGATCAAACCACACAGGTATTGTCTTACAGAATAATATCACATCTGCCCTTTGTCTTCTTTCCGCCTCAAGTAACGTTTCTCCTTCCCCTGTCCTCCCCCTCCTGTCTCCCTGTGTCTCTCCCGGCTTCTCAGTCAGGAGCCTTCAAGAGAAACTTCAGCTCCCCTCTGTTAACCGCGGACACGCTGGGAGTGGTCCGAGAGGCCCCCGCTGCTCAGGGTGAGTGATGGAAACTCTGGAGGATTTCTCACAGCATCCAACAACCAAAGTCTCAGAGTGACTAATCACCGTGTGTCTGGCCTTCGATCCTCGATGCCTGACATGAGATGTATGTGTTTGTCCATATATACTGTCTGCCATAAAACCGCACGTGTGTCCCTGTGTGTGTGTAGAGGCAGATAACAGCAGTGTTGACCCTGTGTATGAGGCGCTGCGCTATGGGACGTCGCTGGCTCAGTTGAGCCGCTCCAGCTTCAGCAGTATCTCAGAGTCGCCTTGTGACGAGGTATAAAAACAGACATAGTCCTCGTGTCATTTATATAAATTCATGTAGACATTAATCATACCGAAATAAAGCTGACTTTGCTGACTTCATTTCTTTCTTTATTATAGGAAGAAAACCTGCCAGACAATCTGGAAAACCAGCCGATCGCTGAAGAGGAGCCCATCCCAGGAAGTAAGTCAAATCATTTTCCTCTGAATTCGTAACTGATAAATGTCTGTTTTGGCAGCTTTCCAGTGTTTGTCTCTTTTTCAAATGTGACTATTAACTATGGTGTCCATAAAATTGGTTTGCCTTTTCTGGGCTAATGTAGAAACACGGTAGAGCAACATGGGACTTAAGAAGACCCATTCCCTTTTTAAACATTAATGGTTCATTCTTAGCTAACTGAAACACAACGACTCGGTTTTAAATTAATGAAAACATAGCTCAATGTTAATGTAAACAAAACACATGAAACCCTGTATCTTTCAGATCAATACTGAAAGGTTTTGTAGAAATAGGTTCACATTTTTTAAATGGGCTTGTTTGCTCTTATTTCCAAAGGTAAATGAAAAGATTGATACCGCTTTTATGTTCCTTTTTAAATTACGTTTGTTGTTTTTACATTGTTTTACATTGCCAATTTTGTTTGTTGACTTGTGAAGCCCTCTGAGACAAATAGGATTTGTGATTTTGGGCTATATAAATAAACTTGAATTGAATGTCTACTTTAAACATAAAGCTACTAGCAGCAGCCGGTTAGCTTAGCTTTACAGCTGATGTACAGTACACAGGTTATTAAAATGAATCTCACTATAATTAAAACATTATATCTAATTTGTACAATTTGCAAAAATATATAGTGTGTAAATTGGTAAACTGTAGATGTGGGTTTTGATGTGCAAGCTGTTTTCTCCCGTTTCAAGGCTACATGCTAAGCTAAGCTAACCACATGCTGCCTTTTACTTTATATTTACCCTTACTTTCCATCGTATTTCCCGTGGCAGTGGAAGTGATCTTCTCATTTAACTTGAAGCAAGAAAGATAGGCCTTTCCCCATAAGTTTAACTCTAAACTGATTGGTGCATCAACCCTTTTTTAAAACAGTTGAGTCTGAGTATCTGTACATTTCACAGGAATCCTTAGAGGATACATTTTATTTCTTAAGATATAAATTACCAATGGTGAGATTCCCTCCATAATGTGACACTATTGGGACAGAATGTGAGGGATACAGTGAGTATGTGTGTGTTCTCTCCACACTTCTTTAACCTCTCTGTCTTTAGTCCCAGGAGGAGGGATCATCTCTGTTTGTACTGCTGCCACTTTGCAGTACATGACCTTGATTTCTGTCTTCCATCTGTTTGTCGCTAAGTGACCTCTCTGTGTATCCCTCACACTTTTTTTCTTTCTCTCGCACCTATACTCTTCCTCTCTTTCTCTGTTTTTTACACGTGACCTTTCCTTATTTCACACATATTGTCTTTCCTTCTCTTCCTCTTTTCTCTCTCTGTCTCTCCAGTGCTCACCCCTCCTGAAAGTGAGAAGGCTGATTCAGAAGACAGAGTCAGCCTGAAGGTGTGTAGTCAGCACTCTTCTCCCATTTTTCTTGGTGAAAATGCACTCTGTCAACTCCCTTCAAACTCTCCCTACTTTTCACTTAAAGTCAGAACTCCACATGGGAAAACAAATGAATAACAATCTTTTTTCTCTCTGTCTATCTTTCGACGTTCCTTCTTCTAATCAGACTCCTAAGAAAGTGGAGGTGCACTCCATCCACACATATGTGGCTCTCTACAAGTTCCTGCCTCAGGAGAAGAACGACTTGGAGCTACAGTCAGTCACATTCCTTTGCATACTGTACTGATTGTGTAAATGAGACGATAGAGGAGGTGTACCTGGTCATCATTTTGCTGACATTCACACGCCATCTGCCTCCTCGGCGGGAGGATCAGAGGGGGGTTGCAGCGTTTGGATCGGGAGGGGGGAGTGTGCTGGGAGGCCGGGAAGGACAAACAGCTGCGTTGAGTGTGTAACATAACCAAAAAAAAGTATTTGTATGTTAGTAGGTGCAGAGAACTGCTGAGTGTGGTGACACCCACCACTAATCTGGAGGATGCGTCTGTGCAGTAAGACAGCACAAAGGGGATACTGATACATGGACAGAGCAGTCCAGTTCCCTCCAGTGAAAAATAGCCATTTATGGTGACATTCACAGTACTTTACATTATTCACGCAAAAGTTACAATACAGGTATTTAGTGACATCACATCTACCTGACTATTGAAGCCTGTTCTTATTTGGGACTAGAATTTACCTTGATTTAAAAGCAGTCTAAATGCTACTTAAATGGTGCTTAATGTGGCAATAAGTGCCTAATTTTATTCACTTATTAACTCATTAATTGTAAACCTGTTTCTGTGTTAGGAATTCTCATTAAACCTTTGTTTGATCGCATTTGTTCCTCCAGGCCTGGCGACAGAGTTCAAGTCACAGATGACTCCAACGAGGACTGGTGGAAGGTAGGCTGCGCAAAAGATCTTAATAGAACTTGAATGTTATAAATCTCCAGATTTCCTGTAAATACATATTACAGTAACACACACATATTAAACTGGTCAAACAATCAGTTGAAGTTCCTCTAGTCAGAGCAGAACTGATCAGAGTACTGAAGAGCTGACTGATGTGCTTAAAGGACCGCAGGTGTGGGTGTGCAGATCTAGTCATTATTTAGAGGAGAAGAGGAGGGTTGCCGTCGGTGTTTAATGACGCAGCTGGAGATCTTCACCTTCACCTGCGAAGGACAGTCAGTTCTTTACATCAGACAACAGGAAAATGTAGTACAATATTTCAATCAAATACATTTTTATTGCAGATTTAAAAAGTACAACTACTGTATACAAAAAAGATGTTGTATCATATATATTATTGAAAGTGATAATCACTGCAAAGCCATTCACTTACAGTAAACACATTTAAACCCCCTCCTAATGTAAACATGCCTCTGCTAAATGTGGATGAACCAACATCTGGACACGAGTGAAACAGCTTACTAAGCACCCAGGGGCTCTGCACACTCATTTGCCAGCCAGAGTCTCTGAAGAGGATGGGGAGGGGATTAGGGCTCCACAACTGCAGATGCTTTTTGCTCTAGAACTGGCATTGCTAATTAGGGAATACAAACATTGTTTTTATTTGTATTTTTCAGCTTATTGTGTTGCCTAATTTAAATTCCATTATGTTACTATGATATAAATGCTATGCAAATGTAGGCAAGTCAACAGAAAAAAAACTCAAAGAGCGTATGCTCCGCCGAGGACTGCAGTGGAGGAAGCCTGCGACTGGTTTCTGTTGAGACATAAACGATGGAAATACTGTAGTTCCTTTTTGTCAACAAGGCAGCAAATTATAGTAGCTTATTATGGCAGTAGTCGGCATCATGCATTATTGAAGTACGGGCAATTAGGAGCCAGGAAAATCTATTTATAACTATGTCTATGTCGGGGTGTGTTTACCAGGGGAAAAGCAGAGACAAGGTGGGATTGTTCCCGGCCAATTTTGTGCAGCGGGTCCGCCCTGGTGAGCGTGTGTGGAAGGTCACGGATGGTTTCCATGGCAACAGAGACAAAGGCCAGATGACTGTAAAAGAGGCCCAGGTGAGCACACAGTTTTCCACACACACACACACACACACTGGCTGGATACATTTTTAAATGTATGCAAATGCATTCAGAAAACTGCTGATATTACAGAGGACAGCATGTTATGGCTTCCATTACAGCACGCTTTTTTTCGCCTCAGTCCACAAACCCTCTCTCACAATACTGAATGTCACTTGCTCCTCCTCCTCCTCCTCCTCCTGCTCCATCCCCACCTCCCTCTGCAGATCTGTGTGGGGAAGAACGAGGAGATTGACGGTTTCCTCCGGCTGAGCAGCGGGAAGAAGAGAGGCCTCGTCCCTCTGAATTATCTGTTAGAAATATGACGACTTCTCCTTGACCCTCAGTTTGATAAAGAAATTCACAATGATGACGGAGGAATACTCAGGAGTGTTTACCCGACACCTCACTGACCGCAAACCACCCACCTCCATCACCTCCAAAAAGTGGCCGTGAATTAGCAGCGGAAGTGGGGGAAACTCCACAACTTTGCTTTTTCACTGCAGAAGCTTTTAAGACTTAAAGGAGGCGGGGAGGGAGGGCTACTTTTCTTGTAGCACAACTTTACTTTGTGTGGTTTTATACACACTCACAACAGAAATGTAGCATCATGTTGAAGAGGATAGTGTGCAGGAAGTCTGGCTACCTCACTAGCCATTTCCATTGGTCACCCGTCTATTGGACTTCATTACTATGATGTCAAGGCGCGTCCAAGCCTTGTGAGTCTCCATTTCACTGTTCGTGTAGAGAAAACAAAAGAGATTGTGAAAGATTGTAGCTGTTTATTGTAGTGGCTTGTGCAATACTTGTTGGTTGTTTCAAAAAACCTTTAACAGTCAAGTAGATTCGCCTAAAAGGTAAATAAACCATGTCGATCCAGTTTTGTATGTGCAGAATGCAGCACGGCTGGATTCAGGATATGTGTCTGTCCTGCTCCGAATATAAAATGATTCAGGTAATACATTGTGTGTAAGAAAAACATTTGAAAACAAAGTATTCTCTGCTACATCTAGGTCACATGAAAGTCACTCTCGCATATCACACACGAATTTCAGACTGCTCTCCCGTGATTGGATTACTGTACATTTTTGCTTTTCACAGCTCCTATGTGACAAATGCTTTGCATGCACCTCTGGGAGCTTTTATACGCACTTCAATGACACTCTTTACACACACCCATGTAACTTTCAAATCAAACAAGAGTATCTGCTTCCTGTCATGATATCGTCAGCGTTGTTTATCTCTTTGTAAAGTCCTGTAATAATGGCTGTCCGGTTGTGTACCACAGCGTGACGATGGTGTGCCGTCTCTACTTTCTGACGCTTTACTTGCATGGAAGAGCAGAGGAAAAAAAGGTAATTCAGGGGGATGAAGGAAAACCAAACTTAGTGTTATTTGTTAAAAAAGGTAGTGAAGTGTTTTCAAACGTTCTGTCTCACAGTAGCCATGTTCCAAACTGTTCAAAAAGGCTGACGTTTTCAAGAATGGCTTATGTTTCTCCCAGCTTACTTTGCATTATTCTGAGGGACTGTTATTTTGTCTGTTATTTAAGGTGCAGAACATCAACACACATCACTTGATTTATTGCTGTCTCATTATAAACCACAAGACAGTGACAAACTGCCTTGGTTGCGGCAATAACTGTAAATAAAGATGACAGTATTTGTAAATATCCTTATAAAGATACTGAATATATAATAAATCTGAATAGCGCTCTGATGAAGAGGTTTGCAGCTATCCAGCTAAGGGCATTAACCTCACAGTTATAAACAACAGGAGATCATTATTTATTGTATCCCACTTAACAATGTATGCATCTCTTTGCTCAATTAACACCCAGCCCTGTCAGCACAAATCTTTTCAAATACTATGCACAACAGTTCTAGTCACTTACTTTATTTTGTACTCAGCTTATTTCCAGCGTAGCCACACATGTGTCTGTATATTCCTGTGCTTTTGCCAAGATTTGAATTTGGACTCCAGCTTTTACAAAGTGTCCATCCTTGGATCAGCCTGCACCATGCTGTTCCTGAACATTACCTTCACTGGCTAGAACCAAGGGTGGCTCAGGATCCGTATATTACCCAGGTGATTTACCTTTCTCACCTCAATGCACACTACCAGGCTAGTTCTTTGCATGGCTAGCTGCTTTTTGATCCTCACATATCTCAATAAAGTCAGATGAACTGTCAGATTGTGTGCTCTTTTATTTCAGAGATCATATCTCAGTTGGGTGCTTTGTATCACTCTGTCTAAACGGCAGAGAAGTGTGAAGAGAGGCTTGGGGCCGAGAAAAAGGCAGCACTTATTGCTGGCTACTGTTCTTTATTGCAAGATAAGAAGAGAATAAGTCACTTCAGCTCTTAAAATCATGTAAAACTAGGAAACGTTATATGCCAAAACGTGCTTTAAGGTTCAAAGTAAAGTACAGTACAGTACAGTAATCCAGATTTGTTGTACCTCGTAAATGCTGGAATTAGTGTAAATGGGGAAGGAGTATTACAATGATTTACCATTCTCAAGTAAAAGTAGAAAAACCTCAATATAAATATACTCCATTACATCAGTTGGGGAATTCTGTCCATCCCTCATCTGGTCAAAGTTTGTTCTGTGCGGTCGGCGATGGACACTAATCAGATGGTGACCCTGACATTCATCAGTAATGATTTCAAACACACTCCATCCTGAGCTGAAGTGATGAATGACAGGAGGATTGGGCGTCATATTTCACTGTGTTTAATCAGATTGTTGAAGACAAGACGGCGACCTCACGGTGAAGGACACTTTTACCGATCCTTAAAATAAGAAAATATATTTCCTCTGACAGAGCACATTTTTTTTTAATGGCCATGTCCTCAACTATCTGAATAGAACTATATAATGTTTTAGCATGGTTGTAGACTTACATTTTCTAACAGAAATGTGAAGCTGTAATTAGTCACATTGTTGCTTTGAGCTCAATGCTAACGTTAGCATACTAAAATGATCGCAAAGACAATGTAATGGGCTGATGTTTAGCAGGTTTAATGTTTCCCTTTTCCACTATCTTAATATAGCATGCTCAAATGTGCTAGTTAGCACAACATGACGCTGATGCTGTTGGTAATGTCAAGTTCTGCAGGATTTGGTGATACACTAAAGTCTGACACAATTTTGGTTAAAGTCAAAAGTATTTACAGAAGTTACAGAAATTCATCCCAAGGTGAAAACAGAAGTCAAAGCCAAATTTCATGCAATTCATCCAAGGGTTGTTCAGCTGTTCCAGTCTGGGTCATAGCGGTACATTAACATTGACATCCATGGAGCCGTAAGTATGACAAAACACACTATAAAGAAGATGATTAAATGTATTTTTTTCATCCACCCACTCATTTCGCCTGCTACTAAAAACTACTAATTTAAAGCTGAATATCTGCACTTTAACCTCATATTGAATGTGTAATTTCACACCTAAATTCATAAGCTAATACATCCAGAAATAAAATGTCCCCCTTCACGGCCACAGAGATTCACTCGGATCTTTCCTGCGAATTGACAGTGCTGAGCCTCAGAGAACTTCTTGTTCTTAATGACCATAAATAATATGATTAACTCCCAATAAAGATTAATTGGCAACAGAAGAGCTGCTGGCAGGCTACAGACTAAGCTGGCAAAGTGTGTGTGTGTGTGTGTGTGTGTGTGTGTGTGTGTGTGTGTGTGTGTGTGTGTGTGTGTGTGTGTGTGTGTGTGTGTGTGTGTGTGTGTGTGTGTGTGTGTGTGTGTGTGTGTGTGTGTGTGTGTGTGTGTGTGTGTGTGTGTGTGTGTGTGTGTGTGTGTGTGTGTGTGTGTGTGTGTGTGTGTGTGTGTGTGTGTGTGTGTGTGTGTGTGTGTGTGTGTGTGTGTGTGTGTGTGTGTGTGTGTGTGTGTGCACGTCCCTGCTGTGGTGTGAGGAACATTTCTCAAATCATGACCCAGTTCTGTTATCCAGTTGGATCAAATGTGATTTTTGTCTTTGGAGAGAGAGAGACAGATATGTGTGCAGCTGGCAGTACATCAAGCCGCTCTTATATTTCAATAAATTGCTGACTTTGGTGCCCAAGATTCTATGTTGCTCTCCTTTTACTGTACAGCTGAGCTCTCTCTCTCTCTTTCATGACAATTAGCAGAGGAGGTTGAAATCCTTCTTTCCAATTGTCTTTATGTGGCTCAAACGGCAGCGAATGTAAGGCTGAGTTTCTCTCCCGCAACAAATCATTTTCTCTCTTATTTCACACTAAATCCATTAACATTAAGACAAGACACTGAAGTATCAAAGAGGCTGGTTCGGAGCATTTCAGCCTGCTCCAGAAAACGAAGTGAAACTGCTCATTAAATGTGCAATTTTTTACTGTCCTATAATGTTTTGCATCTTTTAAAACTGAGCATCAGCTGCTGAACAGGGGTGATGATTACAGCACAAGGGCGTTAACAAGGAGCAGGAATACAGCAACAATGCAAATTCTGGAAGAAAATCTGTGCTCGAAATAGCTCTTGATTATATAGGCAGGCAGGAGGATAAGTAAAGCACTGTCAGAGGGAAATAAAGCTTTGTGGTGCTTGTCAGACGCGAATAAAAAAACACTTTACAGACCCCTGCATCAGGAAAATAAAAAAGAATCTCCTACGCCTCACTTCCTCTACTGTCTGTTTAAAAAGGTGTATGTGACAGGATTACACACATCTATAGAAGGCTTGAAATATGAATATCTTGCCTTAGTTTATGTAACCCAGACTATTCATACTTTATGGAAGCTTCCTTAAATCTTTGTAAAATGCGCTTCTATCAGTCGGCTCATGATTTACAGTTTCATTATGTGAATGCATACTGAGTTTAGATCTAGCTTCTACAGTAAGCTCTGATGTTTATCAACTACCCAGTAAGGGTTGAATATTGAGTTTATGACATGCACTGACACCTTGAAGTTATCTTATTGCAAAGTATGCATCCATTGGTTCATCAAATCTAAACCCTGCAAGTGATAGTCCACAGATAAACCTAGTAGTTTCTCACTGGACTAGATTGCTTGGAAGAATTCAAAGGCTTCTTAACCTCTTTTACTTGAATCTGCAGCATCTGATTCGAGGTTGGCCATTTGATGACAGCAAAAACAAGCTGTAATGAGACATATTTCAAAATGACACACTAACTAACAATGCGACTGTAATCTGGAGGAAAATATGTGTCCCTCAAAACGTATTTGAGCATGTTGTGGTTTCGTTGTATGGGCAGACATGGTTGCACCTCCTGCATCATTTTCTTTCATTCCAGCCTCATTTCCACAAAAGTATTAATAACCATTCCCCACCTGTCCACTAGATGCCCTCAGAATTGTTCCAGCTGTAACCTGACTTCAGAATAACTGACCCCTTTCTA